TCCATAAATAAAGTGGATGTCATCCATTTTAGCATTAGTAAGATCATTCATAATGAAATCACTGCCGATTACAACTCTGATTGTCACTATCACTGTCAGCTGATCTCCAAAGCAGGTATTCATGATATGCAAAGTAGCTTCAGTTTTTTCTCGAAAACCAAGCTAGATATGAAGAAAACACAAGCGACAAAAACTTGTATTTTCAGTCGATCGATTTTTGAAAATTGAGGAATAACAAGGCAGTGGCGTACTTTTTCCCGATATTTTTGGCTGTGGTACCCACTGACACTCCACTTTACCTAATAATTTCAATCGCCCTATGAAGTTCCGTACCGACGCTAGAAAACACTTTGTATATTTATCTAAGTGAACGGTATAGTCTTGCTAATGTGTGGTTACAGGAATAGCAGTTTCCAGAAGCAGATGCACTCATTATGTTGAACAAAAAAATGAAGCAGCGCAATAGTTTGTAGAGATATTTCCAAATTTCATTCAAGGCAACTGGGTAGAACAACGTTTCGGTTGGTTCCAATGACTGACTTCAAGTAATGTCATTTGAAAATTGGATATCACCAGTGATATCACATAAAAAAGTGGAATTGTGAAACTGAATTGCGAAATTTCCAGATAAGGGGAATCTAAAGGAATAATTCGTTCAGACCAGTCTCAACTAACTCAAGTCAACAAGTTTACATGATTTGATTTATGGCCAGTCTTCAAGTATGCCCACTGACTATATGTGAAAAGTTTTTCTCCTCATACGGGAAACTGGGCAAATTTCGGATATGCGGTTGGTTACCTCGTTCACCGGCAGATGGGGCGATGACAAATCTGTTGTTTGTTGTCCGCTTCGGCCTAGTTCGAGGAATGATACTCTGAAGGAATACAATTTTCAATTATCAGAAATCATCGACTTTATGTTAATGATAGACACTACCTTGAACTGACGAGTGGTCAAACAGTCCGAAACCGTGTTCAAATAATTGAAAATCTATTGCGGCAGTTGTATCGCCAACAGCTTATGCAGGAATGACTTCAGTGAAGAATCCGGTCGGATATTACCCAACGCCCTTCGTGGTATTAGCCAGGGGAGAAGTTGTTTTCTGATGGGTGTCAGTCCAGTAGCCTACAGTGTAGGGAGTTCAGACTGGCATGAACGAATTGTTCTTTGGATTATTTGATTCATAGCCAGTCTTCAAGTATGCCCTCTGACTATATGTGATAAGGGGAATCAAGTTTGTAGGTAGGTAGCCCTTCTTCAGCCCGCAAGTGACCAAAAAGACGAAATTGTCATAAATATATGGATAGACTGCATATAACCACTGTACCCATTTCAAACTGAAAACATGTATTACCAAAACCCGTTATGCTATAGTACAGGATAGCACGTTCTCGTTACTCCTTATTTTTCTTTTCACTTCAAGGAACACATTCCAAGCTAAAATTCCGTCCGGAGAAATGAATAAATTTCTGTAGACACACTTTCTTGCGAATGAAAAGTTTCCTTCCAAACACGTAGTTATCTTTGTAAGTCGCACAATTCCGAAAATGGGAGTTCGTTTTATATCGATTCAGACGGCAGCTGTTATATACTCATCAGAAAGTTTGGAAACTTTTCGACCCTTTTGTGGAATCTTTATCTGTAATAGTCATATCATTCTGGCGAGACTTTTTTGTACTTTGATTAGAACATGTTTTGAGTTGAAGTTGAAGACATAGGTTTTCAAATAGGAATTGTATCAAGATATCCTATGAAAATGATCGCACAGAAAAGAGTAGTTTTCAAATGTTCTTTTATATGAAGAGAGTGTGAACATGGTTGTGTAATGGTACTGAGGATGAAATCAAAACGTTTTGAAATGAAAAAACGACCTGTCATAATAATCACACAATGGCTAAATCGAAAGAAAGAATGTTCAAATTCAGTGAATCATTATGAAACAAATGCCACAAAAACCTTGGCATCGGTTTTCTCCAAGAAGATAAATGTTTACGAACCGGATATAATAATGTCAGGTCAGACAACTTTGCTTTCTGCTTCGATAAGTTTGTTGGGGGACAACAATAAGTCTTGGAACAATCATGTCGCTGGAATTGCATAGGCTGCTTTTCAAAAGCTTGGAACACTGTTCCGAACCAGACAACTGTACATACCTCAGCAACTTTTGATGCTTTTGAAGCTCAGATCAGACCTTCTTTGGAGTACCTATTGTTCCCATCTATGGAGCTCTGGTCCTAAACATACCCTGAAGTTGCTGGATACCATCTGGAAAAGAACCATCCGCCTGATTGGAGACGCGAACATCACGTGCAACCTTGATAGCCTGGAACATCGAATAAAAGCTAGAGATTTTGTCTCTCTTCTATAGATACTTTCACGTACGCTGGCTGTTCAAAAAGTGGGGTGAATTTCAATTGACGAGTGCGCAAGTGCGACATTCGCTTGAACTTGGCATGCCTCATTTTCAATTTCAGCTTTCCTGAGCTTCAATTGGGACGACTGGATTTTGGTTTCAATGTCATAAGAGCAAATCTGGATTGCTGATGATATCCAACAACTCCCAAGAAATACTCACAAACTTTTTTGTTGGTCAAAATTCAGCAATTTTGGAACGAATTACGCCTCATTCCCTGAATTTCCAAAAAATTTCAAGGCGTATTTCGAACGATATGCCGACATCCTCAGCAACTTCTCTAATGGCAATTCGACGATTCTCCTTTCTTCACTTTCTCAACATTTTTATCGGTTGTTGATGTGCTGGGGCGATCAGGGCGAGCGTCGTCATTCATTAATTTTTCCCGACCTTCAGTGGAAGGTGTACCACTTGTGAATATTGTTCTGACTAATAGTACAATCACTGTATGTCACTGTCAACATTATAGATATTTTTGACCACTCAATTACATTTTTTCCACAAAATTCTATGTAAACTCTTTGTTTTTTTTTGTGAAAGCTGAAAATCGCCAAACACACAATATTTATAACTTTCCCGCCTCTCAAGGAATGCCTCTCTCCAAAAAACTAAACATAGTACTGAACAGCTGAAACTGTAAACATATATTCGAGACGAGTTTCCCAACATACAAAAAATTAAAAAAATCGCGAACTGGATGTACGTAACAAAATTTTAACAACCATCCTAATTTTTGTACAGTTCACGTAATGAAGAGTTGGTGGGACTGCAGTCTTTTTTGATGTTTCCCCAATGCATCATCGAATACAACCATCAAATGTCAGAGTTCTTCAATTTTCTGAATATGGACTTGAACCTCAATGGAAAACCATCGCATACAATTTGAAAATAATGATCATTCAAAATGTTGTCGATTTTGAAGTCGCTTAAAACGCTCACTCATTAGGGGTTATTCTATTTTCCGTTCGAAAAACTAAATTTGTGATGGTTTCCGAAGAAGAAACGTTGGATTTGCAATTCCTAAGACGATACTTCTAATGCTGAACTCTTTATAGGAAATTCATTAAGTCTGAAACTGATAGTGATACACCTGAAAAATATGGAGAAAACAAATGAATGATAAAAATATTACCAAATTCAAATCTAAATTGATAAATATAAATTGGAACATATAAAATGTAGATGAAATTGTAAACATTTTTATAGAAACTCTATCACATTATGCCGACCAGTGTTTTCCTTTCAATGAAACAAGTTTTTGGACAAGGGAAAACAAGAATGAAAAGGTTTAATGATGACTTGGGGCAAATGAGAGAAAATCTTAGTTGCATTAAAACTATCTGTGATACCACCAAAAGCACGGAAGATCTTCTTGCATTCAAAATATATCGTGAGCAATATAGAAAAAAAACTTGAAAATGTAAAAAGAGAATATAGTGATTTTTTTAGAATCCTGTATATAGGTATCCCGTCTCATACAGGTGAACCATCCAAGCGTACCACCCATACAGGTATACCAACCTAAATTAATTTTACAATTTTGCCTTATCTATTATTTTACAATATATGTTTATATAAAACAATTTTCAGCTATATAAAAATTGATTTCACAATATTGCCCATCCAAATTCATTTTTGCAATGTGTCCTTATGTAGTAATCAGTAAAACCAACAATATTGTTTTATTTTAACAAGCTATATAGCTATATAGCTAACAAGCTAACAAGCTATATAGCTATATAGCATGGTAAAATAAAATAATAATTGGATTTACGGATGGTTTACCTGTATGGGATACCTATATAGCATAAATAGGGTTAGCTTCGCATTAGTTTCTAGTTTTAATCTTCCTCTTTGAAGATGATTTGGTGCTGGAAGAAAATTCCAATAATATTCTTTTCTACATATATTTCAACTGACTTGCAACAAACATTCAAGTGTAAAGTTGTCAAATGAATATATCTATCTATCATGATCTCTGATATGTTGGCAGTGAGACATTGAACTACAAAAGTTTTTATGGAATCCACTGCCACTATTTCGAATATTTCTGATACTTCATATAATTTTAGAAGGAAAACATTTTATTGAAAATGCAAACACATGTTTTCCTTGTGAAAAATCTTGTTTTCGTTATGTTCAAAAGACCTATGGAAATAACTTCAATGAGAAGTGGTATAGACTCAGATGCACGAGATGACATTTTCATTACCGAAATAAGTGGTAGTGACAAAATTATATATGTTGACGAACCCATCTTCATCGGTCGGTCGGTTCGACGTAGGTGCTCTGTTCACTCACTCAAATCAACCGCCTTGTTAGTCGGTGGTTCAAGCCGCAGGCTGAACGATCGATTTTCATTGCTATCGTCCAACCCGTGTTAGGAATCACACGTTGAAAGGTTAGACCTCGTTAGTCCTTAGCTTGGACAATATTTGACTCCTGTAGGATATCTTTCGTAGGGGTGCGACAGCTGGTTAACGGAAAAACATATTTAAAAACCTATCTAATCATAAATATGCACTGAATTTTTTCTCTCTATGAAAATTGAAATCGTGATATTTGAGCAGTATTTACTTTTTTCAGAGTCATCTAATACCATACAACGAGACAGCGGGAGTTCTTCCGGAAGGAGAGACACTCACCCTGAAAAATGTCAGACAGAATTATGCAGGTCAATATGCTTGTTCCGCAATCAATGTAGAAGGAGAAACATATAGTTCTCCTTATGAACTGAAAATTCAATGTAAGTAGATTACATAAAAGACTCCAGAAGCGATTTATGACCCTTTACTCACTTTCATATTTGGCTTTGCTTGTGAAGAAACCCAAGAAATATGGATTTCTATTTTTATTTTCATGAAATATGAAATGATCATCCCGATTCACACTCATATATGTGAAAATCAATCGAATTCTAATAGTTTATAATGGTATTTCAGCATTGAAAAAACTGAATAGATTGATTTTCAACCAACCGGATTCTTGAATTTATCACTGAATATTATTGAAAATTTCAGACAATTCATCTGAAGGTATAGTTGCATATAACCAAAAATACACTGAGATATTCTTTTCACAAATGGAACGAGAGTGACAAAATATTCGCAAATAAAATTATAAAGTGAATAATTTGAATGTGTTGCTATTGCTATTCAATATTCTTAATGATTTTTCTGATGAATCACTTCAATGCTTCCAACAGTGGAAATGCAGGTCGATATACCTGTACCTGTACCCTGGATGCAGTTACGACAGTCATTTGCCACAAATATAATAACTAATGATTTTCAACGTATCATTATCATTGCAAATACTATTCAAAAATTCACTATTCTCCAATTAGGTATATTGAATTGTAGTAGACTAACTCATTTTATTGAAAATACAACAATTGATAACAATTTGAAAAGAACAACAAAAAAAAATTGGGGTAATGAAATTTAATACAAAATTCATGAAGGTAAGGTATGCATGGGTATGAGACCTCCAAAATATTCCCAGTTTTCGAAGGGTATGGAAGGTATATCCAAATAATCTTATCTATTTTTCGAGTTCGCAACTCTTCATCATCTGGCAAATGAAGGAAGCTAAATTACTAGATAATCCGATGAAGTATACTGAACAGTTCACTTCGAAAAGTTACCGCTGAATTTAAACCACTGAAAAATCCAATCAGTCAGTAACGTTTCGTATGCATGAATTTTGCCTGAAAATTAGGTAATCAATGAAGAAAATGAAAATGTTATACTCATCTCGGTTAGGACCAAAAGGCTCGTTGGAGACCTTAGCTGACCTACCACTTTCTCTGATAGTTTTCTTCGACATCAATATTGGTTTCATATTGTGTTTCTCTAGGATTTCTCCTATTCGGTCTGTTGTAGTTTCAAAAAAGTGTGGGTGAACTTTTCCAGTATAGGGCCAATCTGATGTTATGTTTTTCTCCGGAGTTATATCGCCCGTTTGAGTTCTACTTCGTTGAACCTTTTCCCTTTGTGAAGTCATTAAGTTCGTTGAGATACTCTCATGTTCACAAAAATTCGACGAGCCCTCTCAACCAACGTTTTGGTCACTTCTTTCTTTTATCGTGACTAATTGTTAGAGTGTTTATACATATACTGTATGCTCTGAGGGCTTTTCCTCATTGCACACAAATGAGGCCATTCAATCCAATTACTAAAGATGGAGCCACCGCAGTAGTGGACAAAACATCATGCATAAACCCCTGCAGGCACGACCAACAAACCCTAAAAATGAAATATCTTTTTTCTTTCGACTCACCTCAGAAACATCAATTTTTGAGACTAACTGCCAGGTACCGTGTTAGGAATCACACCTTAAAAGGTAAGACCTCGTAAATCCTTAGCTCGCACAAGTTTCGACTTCTGAGGGTTGTCGTTCCTAGGGGTGCGACAGCTGGTTAACGGAAAAACAGATTTTGAACAGATTTTTTTTTACTCTGATGTTGGAGTAGGATATTTCCTGCACTGATGAAAAGTAATACTTCGAAACCGATCTGTAGGTGATCTATCCAAATAATTCCAGCATGATCCTGCTGCCGGATGAATGGGAGACTAACCTCTGTGAGGTATCTTGTATAAATATCTATCAGATATGATTCATTATCCAGCGTGGTATCAGCTGGGAAAGTACGCAGTTTTCAGTTAGTTGGGAGAGTGTTATAGTTCTATGTATAGAAAATTAAAACAATACAGAAGGCGAAGAGAAATCATAAATTCAACATTTTGAGCTCAATTTGTTGAAACATGTCAATCTTTAATGAAATACTGCAGCGTTCCAAATTCATTAAATATTTTTCCAATACGGTGTACTGTGACGAAACTCGAGAAGATCTAAAAAACATCCACTGTGTATCAACCCTACATCCCATCAATACTCGGATTATTTCCGCTAGCTACAGAGATAATTTGTGATCAAGTTGATTTTTCTTCGGAGAAAAAGAAATGTCGCACAATGGAGTTCATGATTTGTATTCTCCGTAAGAAATAATCACCTACGCAATATGGTGAGGCATTCATTTCGGAGAAACGGGAATACAGCTGGGAGAATTGGATTCCGGGCATGTCTACTCGTTTGTTTTCTTTTTTGGAAAGGAACCAAGAAATGTTTGATTAACATGAGGAATGTATACAGTGTTTGTAGATATTGACATTCAAATTGAAAGAACTAATACATTGCGGATGTGAATAGTCCACCCATCTAAACTCTGGAACGGAACAAGATATCAAAGTGGGATGGATAGATACATCTATTTCAACATAGTATTTTATAATCATTCACAGGAGTGGCGGAATAATTCTGTCTGAGAAATACGTCAAAATGAATTGTGAAAATATCAAATATGAGTACATTGAAATCTGAAAATGAAACCTTCAAAATGACTATCTTCAAGTTTCATACACAATTACGAACATTTTGAAATGAACGTCATATTGAGTATGATTATTGAAAGTAGAGATAATTTTTATAAATAAATAGTGCAATTTTGAATAAAATTTGGTTCATAAATTCCTGCAGGCCAGAAAATATTCTTCAGTATTGTAGGGCTCTAGATTACATGAAAATTATCTTACAGATTTCAGGAATCTGTTAGCAATGACCATATCTTTTATGTTTTTCGGAAAATTATTACAAAACTTTTTTCATACAGTGATTTGCATGGATGGGATATGAAAAGTATTTTTCCGTCTTGTCTCATGAATATGCGTTTTGCGATGTATGTCAAAATGGCCTGGATAATTGATGATAAGTTTTATTGATTCATATATATCGGTTGCTGACACAGTAAGTAGTTTGTTGATGTTGAAGGTTCATCTGCAGAAATCTCTTATGTTCATATTGAAGATTATTCTGATATTTTTTTTTGACGTACAAAAACTCTATTCAACCCAAGATATGAGCCCCAGATGATTATCTCCAATTTCATAGGAGAGTAAAAATTTGCATAATATACTGTAACTAGTGCTTAAAGAACAATTTTTTTTTAATCTCATGGCGTATTTACCAAGGATAGTTTATGACAATGGTTGTCTCTATCTGACTAGTTCAACTCAAAGTTTCATCTATCTATATGCCTAGATAAAAATTACCTAGAAAAGTATCATGTTCAGTACTTTCGAATGAATAAGACGACAGTGTTACATCACTCATTGCCGATAAGGCGCTCTTTTTTCAATAGAAAGTGAGGCATATATACCCCTATTTTGAAGAGAAATTACAGCAATAACTGATTTTTTTATATACCTCCATATCTGACGACCCCGCTGGACACTGGCGACTTTTTGTGAACCTTTGCTCTATCCAGTACTTCCTTATTGTTGAAAATCGACTTAGCCGTTCGAAGAAAGTACTAGTTTTATATTCGTTTCAAGAATCTGAAATAAAAATACAGTGTGACACACTGAAGATACCTGTAGTCATTTTTGAAAGCAAATATTTCATTTTTGATACAAGCGTAGACCTTCATGGGCCGCACTTTTCGTAGAACTTAGCCCGACTGACAGCTTCAATTCCAGCCTACTGGGTTCTTGCAGAAAGGGCAAATTCTCAATGATATTTATGTTTCTAGTTGATGACACCAAAATGAATCATTTGTAAAAGTTGCTCAAAAATCGATTTTGACCCTGCATACCGAATTTCAACCCAAAATTCGAATTTTTATTTCTTCAAGACCGATTTTCGAATGATGGTTCTAAATAAGAAGCTAAGAAAATGAAAGATTCGTTATAATGTAAAAGCCACAAACACCTTGGTCGATATTAAATGATAATTAATGAAGCGAATTCATCAAGAAATCAGACGAACAATAATTTTCGAAGTCAGTTCCAAATATTGTGTATAAATTGGTCCGCCCTCAATTCTGATACATTCTCCAATTATTTTTCTATCAATATTGGTCACTCTCCTAATTTCTGGAATACTTATTTCAGGGTAGGTTGGCCGTATTTTCCCACGAAGTTTTTGTCGATTTCGAGGCCTAAACTTCTCAATTATATTCTCGATAGTTTTCCAGGAGTACCTATTCATTAGAGTTGTGTTGGAAGAGCAAGGATCCCATTGCTGATATGGGATATTTCTTCCAATCCAATCCAATGTAATGTAATGGTTAATGTTTGTTCAATCACTTTCGAACCATCCAAGAATTATGAACGGAAGCTTAGTCTCGCTGAAAGTATATCTCCTGTCACACATTAAGAGGTAGATTTTCAACGATTCTCCATGATTCATTATAAAAAAAAATTCAATAGTCGTTCGTCGTTTATGATATCACTGAAGAAAAACGGTCTAATTATTATGTCGCCTAAAATACTACACTTTTTGACAGTATTGGTCCTAACAATTTAAAACCATGTTGGGATTTTAAGTAGAACAGTATATGCCATTTTGAACAGATCACTACAATTGATAGTTAACGTAGTGAACAAAATTTTTCTTAGGAAATTTCTATCAATCGACAAATTCCTTGGATTCAATAGCAGAAATATAATCGTTCATATTTGTCACCTTCTTTTAATGTGCAAGAACTTTGGTTTGAAAGGTTTATTTTCGTGACGAACGCAAACTGATTTGGGGATTGGCACGAATTGAAGCTTGTTTTTGACGCATTTACTTTCAAAATTCCTTTAAGAAAAAGAAATTTTTACATATAGTCAGTGGGCATAGAAGTTTGACTATGAATCAAATCATCTAATGTCTAAAGGAACAATTCGTTCAGCCCAGTCTCAA